GTGAGAGTGTGTGTGTGTGTGAGTGTGTGTGTGTGTGTGTGTGCATGTTTATGTGGTTTATGAGGACACAAATTTGTATAATAACATGGGTATGACATAGGTATTACAACGAGAAGGTGATTTATGAGGACATCTTCAGTGTCCCCGTAATTCAAAAGGCTTATAAATAATTTAATTAGATTGAAAATCTAAAAATGCAGAAAGTTTTCTGTGAGGGGTAGGTTTAGGGGTAGGGTTGGTGTAGGGCAATAGAATATACGGTCTGTACAGTATAAAAACCATTACGCCTATGGAGAGTCCCCATAAACCATAAAAACAAACCTGTGTGTGTGTGTGTGTGTGTGTGTGTGTGTGTGTGTGAAAATAGAGTTTTTTTTTTCTTTAATCATGACTAATTTCAGAAAAAAATGTGATTAATTAGTTAATTATTTTAAATTGATTGACAGCACTAATATTTATACATGTATAATGTAGTGTTGGGGAAAGTTACTTTTAAAAGTAATGCATTACAATATTGCCTTACGCTCTAAAATTTGAACTAATTACATTACTTAGTTACTTTTTATGGAAAGTAATGCGTTACATTATTTTTACGTTACATTTCAAATCTGATCAGGGCTTGCTTGTTTGCTTTTAATAGAAAAAGTTGGTAACACTTTAGTATAGGGACCAATTCTCACTATTAACTTACTATTACTATTACTAACATATTGGCTGTTTCTTAGTATTTAGAAAGCACATATTCTACATGACCATATTTTACATCCCTAACCCTACCCAATACCTAAACTTAACAACTACCAGTAACTATTAATAAGGAGCAAATTAGTAGTTTACTGAAGCAAAAGTCATTGTTAATGGTTTGTTTATAGCAAGAATTGGACCTTAAAATAAAGTGTGACCAAAGCATTCTATTTTTAGCAAACGTAAAAGCCTTTTCACACCATACGTGAAATGAATAAGCTTTGGGCTGAAGAAAATGTACATTCACGTCTATATAGTAGAACGCAGGAGAAGAAAGTTCAACATTTCAGCGATTAAAAAAAAAATGTTAGTCTGATTACGTAACTCGCATTACTTGTAATTGCGCTACCCCCAACACTGATTATTTCATATGTCAGGCTTTACAGGGTGAAGTGTTTTAAAGGTACATGCCTTTTGAATATCAATCTATTTCTAATTCCAATAATACATGCTGCCTCAAAACATTGAAACGTTAGGCAAAAATGCACATGGTAAGAATAAATCATTCTATTGTGGAAGAGTAACTCAATATAGAGCAAGTACAGCATAGCATCCTAAAGATGGCAGCATAAGCTTTATTAGACCTACTGGAGCAGGACGGAGTATTTAGCAGCAAATCCGAAACAAATCTGTTCTTGTGGTATGACACACATGGAGAAGTGCACTGAAAAGCAAACAGATGAAAAGCACATGTAAGGCCACTAATAATTTCAGTGAGTTGATTTTTAGATTTCATGTGCTTAAAATAAGCCTTAAAGTCAACATGAAATCAAAATGGATTGTATTTACTTTTTTATTATGCACACTCCTGATCTTATTGTCAAGACTGCATGTTATTCTAAAGAAATAATGGTGTCTTTGTATTCTTTTGTCCAAATATATTACATTGCTTTGCATCTAAAAGTACTTTCCTTTTCCGCTGACATCCGCAAGCCCTCATTTTTGATCCCCTCTCAACCGTGCAATCAGATACTAATAAAATCACCCTGTTTTTTTAGGCCTATTAAATCTTTAGTGACATTCAATGAGCTGTATGAGTAAGACTTTGAAAGAATAAGGCTTAAAGGAATAGTTCACCCAAAATGAAAATGTCCAAACAGCTGATAAAAACATCATAATAATCCACAAGTAATCCACACCACTCCAGTCCATCAACTAATGTCTTGTGAAACAAATCCATCATTAAGATGTTTTTAACTTTAAATTGTCGCTTCCAGCTAAAACATGAGTCCATAATCCATAGTAACGCTTCCTCCAGGGAAAATGTCCATCTCCTGTTGTCCTCTTATATCAAAATCCACCAACATACTTGTTTTAAATAGTTTTTTGCTTGTAAATGGTGCTTGATCTGTGCATATTTCTCTCCCGAATCAGACAAGACCACTTTTTCACTGGAGAATGCAATATTATGGGTGTGTGTGTGTGTGTGCATGTTTATGTGGTTTATGAGGACACAAATTTGTATAATAACATGGGTATGACATAGGTATTACAACGAGAAGGTGATTTATGAGGACATCTTCAGTGTCCCCGTAATTCAAAAGGCTTATAAATAATTTAATTAGATTGAAAATCTAAAAATGCAGAAAGTTTTCTGTGAGGGGTAGGTTTAGGGGTAGGGTTGGTGTAGGGCAATAGAATATACGGTCTGTACAGTATAAAAACCATTACGCCTATGGAGAGTCCCCATAAACCATAAAAACAAACCTGTGTGTGTGTGTGTGTGTGTGTGTGTGTGTGTGTGTGAAAATAGAGTTTTTTTTTTCTTTAATCATGACTAATTTCAGAAAAAATGTGATTAATTAGTTAATTATTTTAAATTGATTGACAGCACTAATATTTATACATGTATAATGTAGTGTTGGGGAAAGTTACTTTTAAAAGTAATGCATTACAATATTGCCTTACGCTCTAAAATTTGAACTAATTACATTACTTAGTTACTTTTTATGGAAAGTAATGCGTTACATTATTTTTGCGTTACATTTCAAATCTGATCAGGGCTTGCTTGTTTGCTTTTAATAGAAAAAGTTGGTAACACTTTAGTATAGGGACCAATTCTCACTATTAACTTACTATTACTATTACTAACATATTGGCTGTTTCTTAGTATTTAGAAAGCACATATTCTACATGACCATATTTTACATCCCTAACCCTACCCAATACCTAAACTTAACAACTACCAGTAACTATTAATAAGGAGCAAATTAGTAGTTTACTGAAGCAAAAGTCATTGTTAATGGTTTGTTTATAGCAAGAATTGGACCTTAAAATAAAGTGTGACCAAAGCATTCTATTTTTAGCAAACGTAAAAGCCTTTTCACACCATACGTGAAATGAATAAGCTTTGGGCTGAAGAAAATGTACATTCACGTCTATATAGTAGAACGCAGGAGAAGAAAGTTCAACACTTCAGCGATTAAAAAAAAAATTTTAGTCTGATTACGTAACTCGCATTACTTGTAATTGCGTTACCCCCAACACTGATTATTTCATATGTCAGGCTTTACAGGGTGAAGTGTTTTAAAGGTACATGCCTTTTGAATATCAATCTATTTCTAATTCCAATAATACATGCTGCCTCAAAACATTGAAACGTTAGGCAAAAATGCACATGGTAAGAATAAATCATTCTATTGCGGAAGAGTAACTCAATATAGAGCAAGTACAGCATAGCATCCTAAAGATGGCAGCATAAGCTTTATTAGACCTACTGGAGCAGGACGGAGTATTTAGCAGCAAATCCGAAACAAATCTGTTCTTGTGGTATGACACACATGGAGAAGTGCACTGAAAAGCAAACAGATGAAAAGCACATGTAAGGCCACTAATAATTTCAGTGAGTTGATTTTTAGATTTCATGTGCTTAAGATAAGCCTTAAAGTCAACATGAAATCAAAATGGATTGTATTTACTTTTTTATTATGCACACTCCTGATCTTATTGTCAAGACTGCATGTTATTCTAAAGAAATAATGGTGTCTTTGTATTCTTTTGTCCAAATATATTACATTGCTTTGCATCTAAAAGTACTTTCCTTTTCCGCTGACATCCGCAAGCCCTCATTTTTGATCCCCTCTCAACCGTGCAATCAGATACTAATAAAATCACCCTGTTTTTTTAGGCCTATTAAATCTTTAGTGACATTCAATGAG